TCTGGAACCAGCTTCCAAGTGAGGTGGTGCAGGCTCCCACCCTGGGGGTTTTTAAGAGGAGGTTGGATGACCACCTTACTGGGGTCGTTTGACCCCAGTACTCTTTCCTGCCATGGCAGGGGGTCGGACTAGATGATCTGCTCAGGTCCCTTCCGACCCTAGAAACTATGAAACTATGAAACTACGAGGTGCTCAGTATGGTCCCTAAGCCCACAGCTGAACTAGTGGCTGTGACTGACAGGGTGACAGATGAACAGAAGGACAGACCTGAGGGGTCAGAGGAAGCAACTACTTGATGGTCTACTGGAGCAACCTTCAAGGTATTCATCTCTCCCGGTTTCCTCAGAGGATTTCTAGAGGAACTCCTCAGCAGTCATAGTGATGATGGGGCTGCAACATATATAGTCAGCATTTTAAAAATATTTATATAATCTCAGAAATAACAAAGGTGAGCGTATGAGCTACAATAAAAGTTGAAGTGTAGCCTTGTGCAGCTGAGAGGATGAGAGAGGAGTCTATACCTAACACTGTGGCACAAGGACTCCATCTGCTGTACTGCAGTTAATACATGCTGTTTTGTTTAAGATGGGCTGATTTGTTGCCTGTGACTGGGTGCACTTTGTCCCATTATAGAGGTAAAAATCCCTCTCCAGGAGCTGTGCCAAAGGGGGCCATGAATAACTACATGGTGCAAGGACATTGACCTGATAATGGAGAAACCAGTCCCTTCCTGTTCTTCTACATGTGCCCTGACTGTGCTTTTTGTACTGCACAGTTAGTCCTTGCTAAAGCAGTACTAAATGAGAAAGCAGTCCTGGCAGCACATGGTTATTTTTAGATGCTATGTTGCCATTGTGACAAGCTATGATGATGTAGCATCTTGTGTAGATGTGCCCAGTGAGAGCTAAAAGCCTGGCCTCAGTCCAAAGACCAAGGAGCAAACCCACTTCAGAAGCTTTGACTGGGCTGGCTTCAAGGGCTATTTAGAGTCTGTGTTAAGGCTGGGATCCCAAGAAAGAACTCATCTGTGACGGCCCTCCTTAACCTAGATTGAAAAGATGCTGCAGAAGAGGGCACGCAGGAAGTAGGCCATCAGTGAGATACTGATGGAGCTGCAGTGTCAAGGCAATGAATTATGTAGCATCACAGATCAGCAGGAGGAGCTACAGTAGTGGGAACATGGAACAGACTGCCAGCAGAAGGAGCAGAAGTGGCAATCACAATAGGACAGTGAGTGGGATGGTGTGTTTTTGTGGGAGGCGGCCACAGAAACTTTTAGGAACCATCACCAAGCACCAATGATTTCAGGCCCCAAAGCTCATACGTTTTGTCACTTAGATATTTAGCTCACAAGCTAGAATTCTCCAGATGACAGTCTCGGCCCCCTACATAGGCTCTGGCTCTATTCCTTCACTTGCCCCAAAGCAGAAGGAGTAACTACACACTTCCCAAACTGTGCCTCTCACTGTGGTACTCCTAAATAATAAAACAGCAGGTATTGCTTCTTTAGCCCTTTGCCTATAGTCCACAGAACTTCAAAGGACCTTGATCTGATAAGGAGGAAGGCCTCCCCTTCCTGTTCTTCCCCTGTTCATGTCTTAATTGGCACAGCTATAATAAGACATATAATGTGGAGTTGCCTAATTAGCTCTTCAGTGGGTGCGTTTGCACAAGATGCTAACAGCACCGTAGCTGAATAACACTGCGCAGTAGCCTAATAACATTGCATGTGGCAAAAATCTTGCTAATACATATTGCGCATTAGTATCAGGCTACTGTGCAGTTAGCATCACTAAAAAGCTGTGTGCTGGGGTTATTATTCAGTAGCACTAGTTAGTGCACATTGATTTAATATTTGGTTATACAAGTACTAAACTTGACGCGCAGTAACTACAGTGCATTAATAAACATGTATATGCACCCAGCAAATGTTTCAGAATCTACATGTGCAAAGCTATTAGGTCGGAGTAAACTAATTTGCTACACCACAGGATACTGCTTGTATAGACAAGTAGTATCCTGCAGTGAAGTAAAGTACTTTGCCACAACACATGTGTAGATAGAGATGGGAATGACTGGGGCGCAAGTGTTTCAGTTGGGGGTCTGCCTGCGAGTTAGTCCCACACTGGAGCACCCTTGTGCCCAAGACACAGTGGCAGATTAAGAGTTATTGGGGCCCTGGGCAAACAGAAAATTGGAGGGGCTCCCCCAGCCACTTCCGTGCCTCTCAAAGAAGTAGGGGGATGTGACTGGGGGTGGGGGGGAAGGGGCTTCCACTCTGGCGTGTCCTGAGTGGCAAAGTGCATGGGGCGACATTCGGGGGCTCCTGGAGCAGAACACGAGGCACCATGAGTCCCACTTGAAGCCATGTGCCACCCCAGGGGCGGGGGCCACAGCTGGTCCCAGGGTGTAACCAGCACAGACCATTCCACCCACACAGGGCCCACTGTTGCTGCCAGTCTGCAGGGCTGAGCACATGTAGCAGCACCACAGGGAAGTGTGATAAGAGTGGGGTAGGGCACCTGGAAATTGAGTTAGACTGGACCAATGGGGAAGGGCTTGAACAGCCCCAAAACATGGGGCAGCCAAGGCCAAGCTGTGCTGGCTCTGAGGCAGCTCCTGCCCTGGTAGTGCTGAGCTGCCACTGCTGCAGGAGGAGGGAGCCAAGCATAAGCAACAAGCATGCCTCTTGAGTCTGGGGGGCACCCACAGAAGCCAACATCAACGTTGGTGGTGGGGATGGGCTAGTGAGCACCCTCAGAAGCTGCTGGAGGCATCGGTAGTAGGGACGGGGCTGGTGAGCATCTGCAGAAGCTGCTGGTAGCACGGCCGTGGGGACAGGGCTGGTGAGCACCCACAGAAGCCACCCACAGTGGGGGAGGGGCACATGCTCCCCTCCACTCCCACAACGTCACTCCTACCAGTTACCTATGGAGCCAAGCTTGGAGCAACCTCCATGCTGCTCTGCTGCACCTGCCCAAGCCTGCAGGCACCATCAGGCCCCTCCTGCCAGGCTACAGTGCTGGTCTCCTCTCCTCAACCCACCCGTGCTGTCCTGCAGGACCTGGGTCTTCCCTGAAGCTTAATGCTCCATCCCCAGTGGGAACAGTGGCCTGAGTGGGACATACTGCTCCCCAGGCCCAGGGCAGGAGCCACAGCTACCCTCTCCTACAGGTCTCTGCTGGAGCCAGAGCCCAGAGCTAATTGTGCAGGACCCACACAACATCATGGCAGGACGTTGCTGAGGGAGTGGACCCACAGCCCACTGGGTGTGTGCAGCGTGGACTGAGCTCTGGGGGTGGCGTCTTGCCCTGCCATTGCTCAGTCCAGCTGCAGCGGTTCCTGGCCAACATGTAGGATTGCGGCCAGATCAGGCCAGGGACCTGGCTGCATTGGGGTCACTCATCCACTAGCAGGTCCCAGCCACACACGATGCCTGGCTCCACTCCCTGCCACCAGCAGCTCCAGCTGCTCCTAGGGCTTTGGCACGGTTGTGCCCTGCTCGTCACCCAGTACCTGGTGGCCATGGCCCACTGTGTCACATGCCTGGCCTGGCCCAGCCCACTGCTGGTTTTTTCTGTGCCTAGCTGTCCCACTTCTTCCACCCACCGGCAGCGCCTGCCCTCCAGGCCTCTGAGAGGCCCTGATTCGCAGGGGTCTCTGGGCCTGGGCTGGCCTGTGAGTTAATCTGCCTATGCCCAGATAGCCCCTCTGCAGCACATTGAGCTAGCTCAGAGCAGCCCCAGGCTGGCAGGCTGATCCCCTGAGCCCCCGCTAGCTGGGGCTACTCCAAACTAGCTCAAGATGCAAATGTTCCCAGAACCACAGCAAACACGACGATATGTGTCAGAGTTTATTGCTTTGAATTAATTGCACAGGTACATGCACCCAATGAGCAATAAAAAAGCCCAGGGGGGTGGGGAACAAAACAGGGGGAAGATATATCACTACTGCTGTTGCTCCTTGTTCCCTACTCCAGTGCCTGTAGATAGTATTTTCCCCCTTGGTTGTACTTGGAAAGTTTTCCTTAGACCCCCTGCTTCTTTTGAGTGGCCATTTTTCCCTGTTAATTTTCTCATATATGTGTGTGCATGTCTGTGTGTTACACTTTGTAATTAGTGAGTTTCGTTTGTGATGAATAGTTTTGGCTTGGATATCATTAGTTTATTTTCCTCTGTTTAACTTTACATCAATAATGTATTTGTTTATTTATTGGTGATTTATTCTATTCAGTCATTTCCACCTTGTTATATTGTTTGGCTTGACTGTGAAAACTGCTACATTAATTGAGTGTCTTGTTTACTTACATTCTTGCATCTCCCACTGTACTGACCAAGTCAAACAGAATGGGAAAACCTGACCTTGCCCCAGAGCCGTTTAAGAATTGCAGAAGAGAAACATAGACACACAATTTGCCGAAAGGCATCTCTCAGCCCAGTGTTGCTAACAGGATGGTTGCACAATTTAAAAAGATGAAATCTGCCCATTCTTACACACAACATTTTCTGCAGGCCAAGGGACTCATGGTAACCAGCAAGACAAGGCACAAAAAAGGAAAGAATCTATCCCTAAAAGTCTTTTTTGATCTAAATATCATTCCAGACATAAAGAGAGCATGACAAGGACCTTCCCTGCTCTCAAATTCATGGGAATTAAAAGAATCACATTTTGGTTTGCTACCCACAAGCACAAGGCCTGAAGCCTTTATTGTGCATTACTCACTAGAATTTTATTCAAGCTACTTCCCAGTTTCTTAAAAAGTTTTAGAGTCAAATTTCTGTGAATTTCATCCTTTCAAATAGGATATTTTCCCCACTAATGCTCTCCATTCTCTTATCTGTTCTGTGACTTTTTCATATACCATGCATTTCCATAGAGTGGCAGAGCTTAGTTAAAATAAGTATTTCCTTTATCTTTCTATGGCTGTCTTGAGATTATCTAGAATTAAGCTGACTGTATGGAAATCCCAGAAATCTAGGACATCAACCAGGAAATCTGGGAGACAGCTCCCCTCCACTCCCTGCTCCTTTGGCGCTCTCACATGTCATTTGGGGTGAGGATGTGTACTGGGCAGACCTGCAAGGTGCTTCATACCATTACACCTACTGGCCAGACTGCACCCAGAGCCCCTGCATTTCTTGGACACCTATTAAAAATTCTCAAGAGGCAGCCAGGACCAGCCTCTCAAATCCCACCTAAACCAGGACATAAGGCCACCCTATGTAGAATAGTTATATTTTAGTGACAATACATAAGCATAAAACTGTATTTTAGTTTATCTTGTGCAATATGTAGTTGCAATATTTAATATTTGCTTAGGTATGCCCATAAAACAAACAAAAAAAGGAATCAAGCAGTATTTTTATTTTAAAAAGTATGTTCAGAACAATACTGAATTACAATTATACATACCCATATTTGTTCTTACATAAAGTAATCTAATCCAAAAATACCTAGTTTAATAGCACTGTAGAGGCCCCACTCCACTATAATTTAAGTACTATATCCCAGTCTTGCACACACTTACACAAGTGCTCTCAGTGAATCTAATCAGTCTACTAATTCAAACCAGTTAAGCATATACCATAATAAACTGAATTCAGGATAAAAGCTTAAAATATAGTCAGACCCTCAGCATAGATTTGAAATCCATGACACAATGACCCATTTCTTTAAATCCATGACACAATCCATTTCTTTAAAAAGGGCATGATATTAAAAATGTGCCCATAATATACAATGCATAGGAAAAATATGCCACATCTAGAAAACTCAGCTTTTTGAAATTGCAATTTATTGTAATGGGATAACCTACTAAAAGGCACACTTATTTGAAAGTCATATTAGTATATTTGGCAAAATATATTAACATAGTTATTTTCCAAATCTGTGAAAGATGTTAATACTTAATCTAATTTATTATTTACCTAAACTTCTGTTTTTTCTAAAGACTCATTTAACACATACCTAACAAAATCCCAGATATGCTATTGTTTACTTCAACTACTACAGAAATTATATGGAGTATTAAGAAGTCAGGCTCTAAAGGGAAATTTTACTGGTTGGGCCAATGTCTGCTGAGATAGGGCATGAGCCTTAAGCATCAAGTTTTCAGTTCACCCAAATGGTAGCAGGATCAGGCCTGTCACAAGCAGAGGCCATCAGCCAGTGAAGACAATGACTGATGGACACTGACTTATTCAGTGGCGTTGAAATGGAATCATGACAGCAAACCAATGTAGGCAAACTACAGAACGATTTTAGAAGAGGAGAAATAATGATAGTACTTAGCATTCATCAGTGTTATGCAAATGTTACACTCTAAGAAGGCATCAATAGTGACATTATGGGGAAGCCTGCTGTGGGTGTGGTGGGTCCTTCTCATACCACCTCCCGAAGAGTGCCACTGTCAAGACCGGCTTGGATGTCCCATTCTGGCTTATCAGACGCCCATCACTTAATATCTAGTTAGAGAAAGAAGAAAGGTAAACAGGACTATTAACATTCCAGTAATACTGCATTGTGAAAGGCAACAACAAATTATTAATACGTTCCAGCTGAATTGCCTTCTTGGAAAAAGGCACACATGCTGTAAAGAATAAAAAGGAAGCCACAGCAGTAGCCACCTCTCAGCTGATCCAATTACTAAAGTAGAGGGTGTTTAATACACCCAAAATGTCTAATTAAAAGAAAATTGTATAGTACTGGCCCACATTCTCTTACAATAGGGACAAAGGACACAATTATATGAAATCAGATTTAAACAGTTTGAAGACATCCTCTTACCTGAAACTCTCCTGGCGCCAGTTGAACCCCACTGAGCAAGACTTCTGGAAAGACATAACTAGTGCCAAATGTGCCACTGAGGGAGAACGCCTCAAACCTGGTCTGAGCAGTAGCCACTGGCTGCCCACAAGTTTTTAAATCTGTGCTCTTACACTTCAGCAGTGTGCATATCTGTGGAGAAGATAGCGATATATTCTAGGAAACTTACTTGAGAACTAGCCTTGAAAGCAATGAGAAAAATCTTTCACTGCAACGCTATTGGGAAAAGTACAGACACAATTAAGCCAGTTATCGATTCTCTGAAGCTTTGCAATACAATAGAATTCTACACCCAGTACCACAATGTTTCATACACGCTTCATATCCCTTCATATACATAAGTGTTCATCTTCTACTGGAATGGTTTGTGGCCTGCAGCTCTGTCTTAGTTTCCCAGAAACACAAGGATATTTGCATGCCTTACAGGTAATGTTGCAAGGAGCCATTTAAGTTTACACAGCACCAAGCAAATGGCAAGGACTAACTTGATTACATCCATGCTTTAGATTCTTCATTTTGTTACTGTTATCACAAATAAATGATCTTGTGATCTTCATCATGAGCGTTATCTCAGATGATGCTAGTATTTATAGCCAAAACCAGCCCTTCCACATTACTCAGTCTACATGCTAAGTCAACAAGCTCTAGATTCATTCATTCATTCATTCACTCATCATACAGGCTCAGGGTAAAACCCAAGCTGTAGTTCTACTAAAGCTAAACTGTGCCCTAGAAGAGCAGCATGTGTTGCCTTTTACAAACACTGAAACTTCTCTGAACCCAAAAGGATAGGGATAAACTCCAGACATTTGGGGGAAGTGCTTTAACTCACAACACTTTACACAAAGTACCATGAGTTAGAGCTCCCTTCACCCAACAGAAGTTGGGTTTTGGGCCTGGAGCCTGCCTGCACTGGCCCTGGCCAGCAAGCAGGAGTGATCCGGCAGCCTCCCAGAGGGCTGCCAGATCACCACTCTCCCCAGCCCCGCCCCTCCCAGGTCCAGCCACGACAAAGCCAAGCTGGCAGCTGTGTACTGCCCCTTTCAAGAGGCTCGGGCAGGACCAGGGGAAGAGGGTCTCCCTTTCCCATTCCTGTGCTGAGCCTCTTGACAGCAGCAGCATGCAGCTGCCAGTTGGGCTTTGCCATAGTTAGAACTGGGGGCAGGGGGTAGAACGCAGCCCCCTTGCCTCGCAGGCCTGGCCTGGCTCCCCACAATACCTCAGCTGGGTAGCTGGGGTGGGTGACTATGAAGTTCAACCTTCCTCTTCTTCACCCACTGCACAGGGAGGATACTTTCTCCTCTCTGTGACAGCCCTGTGCATGCAAAAAATGAACCCTCAAGGAAACCTGAACAGGATCCCTCATGCACTCTGTTCTAGAATGCCTTCAGCAAATAGCTGATTTATCGAGGGTTTTTTTTTATGCAATTGGCCATTTTAAAAGTGCTTTACAGCTGGGAATGTACATTGTCACAGCTGTAGAGCACTTTCCGAGGCCAGATTGAGCAAAAAATGTAAACTTACATAAGCACCCTTAGTGCTTGGGGTATCAAAGACATTGCAGATCTCAGATGACTTCAAAATTGTAGGAAGAACTGAGAAGCAAGATCCTAAAGTCTGTTAAGACTTCTTAAGAAAGTAAGTTCTTATTTTTCAAACACTGCTTTTAGGAAACCACTTTGATGATGTTCCTACATACCCCCTGGAATAGGTGTGAAGAAGCTGTATATGAAAAAGGAATGCTGTAGCCCTCCATCCCAAAAATGAGTAGTAAAAAGCTTTACCTGCAAATAATATTCGCCTTCAACAATGTGGAGCCCATTAAACGCACCTAGCACATAAACTTCATCCTCTCGCTTCTCTGCCATTCGGTAGCTCAAATGGCAGCAGAGGTCCTTCTGGCAAACGGTATGATTTCCTTCAATCTTGGTAAGCTCCATGAAGGTAAACAGATCATAGTAAATGACTCCGGTGAAGTCTTGATCAGTTGGTGAGAAGTGTTTTATGCTTGTGGCATATGAGCTCCAGTTGACAGCAGGAGGGTAGGTGGGAGAGAGATGAGGCCGTGAGTTCAGTTGTGCAATAAGGAGTTGACCATTCTCTGTTTCTGTATTGTAATGGTATGCTATGGGTCCATTTGGTCCATATATACCACTCCCTGTGAATGCCATGTAGGAGAAAACAATCAATTGTTCTATACTTATGATTGCATCTTCAGCAGCAATATATATTCTGACAATATTAAACTAAACTGCATGGGAATTAAAATAAAAGTAGCACCTTTATAAACAATAAACTCAATCCACTAGTCATTGCAATCAGTGAAAACTGAACCAAACTCAAAAACAGTTTGGTGATGCTAAATTGGTGCTAGCTACGTTCTGATGCTGATATTAATAAAATAGCCACACATTAAATGGCACAAAATATACCATCCTCCCAAAACAATATGCCAATGTTATTTTAGAAATAAGTACAAACAGCTCAAAATTGCATAACTTGCCCCAGGGATAAAAAGTTTAGTATTAACTCTGTTGGAATTGATCACCTTCTCCCCAGTAATGCTAAAATAATGACCTGGACAAGCCTTGTAGTTGGAAAGGGAAAGATATGCCAATTCATTTTTATTTACCAACTCTACAAATCTAAACTTCATCCTTCAGATGCATCAGTTCATATTCTATAATACTGCTTTATGTATTAAAAACATAATACAAGACTTCAATGGATATAGATTCTAGCATATCTGGAAAAAAATCCGACAAAAAACTGTAAAGAAAGGTTTGGTCTCAATGCATACAACAGATAGTGTGTGAAAATCACCCATTGCAGCTTGATTAAAAGTATTTATAAGCACGGAGTCTCCATCTAGTGGTGATGATCATTTGTTACTTCAAAGTAGCAAGACGGTATTATAGCACTGCTAAAGAACAATGCAGCCTTTAACTGGAACACAAATATAAGAGTTCAGGGGAATCAATTAATTAAAACCATCCAAAAGTTTAAACATCTAAAATTAATGTAAAACATTTTAATTTTCAAGTTTAACATTTTAATTTGATTGTAAGTACCAGTATTCATTACTAAGCCCATGACATTACAAACACTTGCATACTTGCAAAAATTTAGCAAGTTAAGGTACTAACCAATTAACTCATCATAAGTTACCTGTCATATCCACACTGGAGTTACGTGTATTTGCTGAAAGAAAGTTGACACGCATTCCCATAGCCCAGGCAGAGTGAAATTGAATAGCTGACAAAAGTGGCAAAGTATTCCCCCAAGCTGTTGGGAACAGCACAGTATCCACCTGTAATTTACTTGCCAGGACCACAGCAGGATCATGGAAAAGTATGTCTGCACAAGTGAAAACACCAAAGTTTCCAAAGGACGTGTTGAAAGTCACATACTCTGGCTCTGGATAATTAAAATATGTTTCAGTAATGAACAAGTTGTACTGTTCATGGAAAAGAAGGAAGGAAAGAAAAAAATTAAGATGGAGGTTGAGCCATATAAATTAGAATGTAGTACACTTAAAGATGGTCATATAAATAGGGAATGGAGTCTACTTTTTTGTTAGACTTCTAAAACTCCATTTTAAATCAGGCCAAAATATAAGACACAGGAGAAGTCAAATATGACTAAAATCCATGCCAGGGTTCTGTTAGTCCTCATCATATTCTTCCCCCACTGCAGAAATAGTATGCCCCAAAGTTCCCTCATGCCACCATGCTAGGGACTCTAAGTATGAAACTCTTCTCCACAGTCCTCTTCATTCTCACCCACACCATCCTTACTCCTCTTTTATTTCTCTCTGAGGGCATCAACATATTAAATTGGATGGGAGGGTACAGTGAGAGGAATTCTGTTATACTGCAATCAATCAACTCTTTCCTTTATAGAGAGATTCATAGGTTTTGTAGCTGTTGACTCTGATAACTAGATGTCAAGGGCTCTGGTATCCCCGATATTCCCATTTGCAGGCATCAGATTTTTCATCAAAAATAGGCTTCTGCCCACCCAGTCTACACTGAAATAATACTGGGATGAATTCAAGGCTTAAGCTTAGCTCACTACCTATAGGTACGTACACAAGTACTAAGTCAATTTAAAATAAGGCGACTTAACTAATTCAATTTAACTAAGGCTACGTATGTTAAGCCATGTCAGATTGTACACACATACAGCTCCTTGACATGGTGAAAGCCATCTTGTGAGTGAAGTTGACCTAACAAATGTGACTCAAGATAATACGCTTTCAAGGTGTATTATCTTGTACCACATTTAAGTTAACTCTACTGCACACATGTGTGTACACTCTGGCAGTTAAGTTGACTTTAAAATGTTAAATCAGTTTACCAGTCAGAAAGTTAGTACTTGTGTATGCACAGTAGGAATCCAAGTAGATGTTGCCTACAGTTCGTGGGCAACCTTGGGCTGCCCTTCATCTCTACTGTTTGTGAAGAAGCAGCAACTTGTGGTTGCTCACTGAAAGAAGAGCTAGTTCAAACAAGAGTGGAAGGTTAACTTTTGAAAGGTAAAGTGCAACCACAGTAACAAGGGAAGAGCACAATTCATCATACTCCCACATTAAAAAAGAGTGACTGCTTATGCTGTCTTAAAGCATTAAACTCTGCTATTTTACATGGCACTAAAACTATGGTGAAATAATATTTACAACTACGGTACAATTGAAACGAATCCATTATTGAACTGAACATTGCAAAGTAATTTCTGACCTTATGGTAACGTGCCACCAGCTTCCCTTCTGAATCAAAGACAACATCAGTATTGTACTGATAGCGACCATCTTTGGGACACTTGGGATCGCTGGAATTACAGGGCTTCTTGTCCCCAATATTAGCAACCACATAGATGGAGTTGCTTCTTGCCATGCAGCTGAGTCGTTTTTGCACTGGGGCAGGACCAAACCTAATTGTCAGAAAAGAAAGTCAGTACAAATTCTAAATGTAATATTTTGGATCAGAAGAATGATTAAGTCAAGCAATACATTCAAATAAAAGACTGGGTATTTGGTGACAAGCTAAAGGCCAAAAACTAAGACTACTGGCACTTAGAATATTGTGTACAAGTCTAATCACTTAACTTCTCTATTTCCGCAGTCTCCTAATTAGTCCTTCTTTGTACCTTTTCTAGTTTAGTTTATTTATTTTGGACCTATATCATGAGGGAAATCAAAACAGCTTTACTTGTTATGTTCAAAGGAGATCAAAAGAACTTGACTTGGTTAAACTAACAAAAATGAAATTGAGAGGGAATATTACTTTTTAAAGTACATTTGGGATACAGCTATAAGAGAGGGAGAAGAGATATTTAAATTAAAGAATAACATTAGCCCAAGATTGAATGGACACAAATGACACAAATGGGCTATTTACATCAGAAGCCAGAAGTTTCTGTTGTCTTTTAGACAAAAGAGATGGTACAAGAAAGTTCAGTCTCTGCAAGATGAAGTTTGACAAGTTCACAGAAGGGTAATGTGATAGGACAGAGTGTCCTTGGACTCATAATTACCATGTGTCTCATTTTCCTTCCCCTGAAGCATTGGCCACAGCTAGAGGTGAGAGTTCATTGGGGTGCGCTACTTGTTTTTTTAACAACATCTCAAATACCTGGCTGGAGGTTTCTGTTCATGAGATTGGGTCAAAACAGAGAGGAATTTTACCCTCAAGTCAAATTGGCAAAGACCATGGATTTTTTGCCTCCCTCTGTAGAACAGAGCATGATCCATCTCCTAGGATCCTCTGAGCCTACCTAACAAATATTGTGCCATATTTCCCCTAAGCTTTATCTTTATCATATGGTAGGGTTTTCTTTTTTAAGGGAGGCTTTATGGTTGGAACATGTGAGAGGACCTTAAGTGAATGTTCCTGGGGACCCTTCTGGACAAATGGTTGCCTACAAACCCAGGGGACAAGATCTTATGGCCCAGGAGGACCCTTTTATTTCTATGTTCCTGGAGAACTGTGGAAAATAGTCATTCTTGCATCACCATGTATTATGCTAATTGACACCAGAGTTTAAGGGCATCCTCTCACTCCCCACTCTTTTCCTTGTTTCTTCTTCACCCTGTTTCCCCTCGCTAACTAAAACCCAGCCCTTCTTCCCACTGAGATCAGTTTATAAAAAAAAATGCTTTAAAAAAACAATGAAGATTATAAAGCCAAGTGCTCATAAGTTAGGAAATGTCAAAATTAAGTATCAAGAGAACTCTAAGAAGAGAGAAAAGCATGAGAAAAATCAAACCTCCTTTGTCCTTAAATGCAGGTTCTTTTATATTTGAAATCTGAGGGTTTACCTAATTGAAGCCTTATATTAACATTATAAAGGCACACTAACAAGGTTCATTGATCAGTTTAGATTCATACATACCTACAGAGGGAATTAAAAAAAAATACAACATTTTGAGCAGGTATCCTTTATTTTAATGAGGAACATTTCTCTAGCCCAGTATTAAGCTTCACACAAGCATACTTTAACATCCCCAAAGTTTTATGCATTTTCTAAAGAACAAACTCTGGATTTTCTGATTTGTAATTTTGTTTTTTGGGGATAATCGTATCACTACTGATTCTTGTGCCCTCACACTAATATGTACTCTTAAGCTTAATTTAGTTTTTCTTTGATTAGTTGTACATAAATATACTTCATTCTGGATTTTTTGTTTGTTTTTATAAATAAAATCTGTTTCATAAAAGAGATTCCTGCAACTTTAAAAAAAAGGTCCAAAGTATCTCAAGCATTTATTCTAGAAACCCATATTAAAATGACCTACTGGAGCCTAAACATCCAAGTCAAAAACATCTGAAGCTCCCCTGAGTGTGTCTGCACTAGATTGTGAATTCTTTGAGGCAGGGACTATGGGCAAAACCTTGGCCCCAGTGAAAGCATTAGAAATTTTGGCAGGGACCTCAGCGGATCCCTTGTCTCCTTCCAGTGCTCATTTGACAATCACTACTTAAACAAACACAGTGATTAAAAGAAAAAAATGTATTTCATAAACGCTATAAATATGGTTGTGGATTTCAGAGATTAGAATGGCTGAATTCATGCTTTATCTACCACCAAGTGACAGAGGAAACTTGCATTTCTACATGCTGAGCACATCTACATGAGACGCTTACTGTGCAGTAGCCAAAATATATGGCGCAGTAGCGCATCACAGTATGGACAGTGGTAATACACTACTGTGCAGTATTATTAGCAGGGATCCTGGTTTTCTCTGATTTAAAAAAAATCCCCAGTTTTTGGTTTAAAACAAGTAACCACAAATCCACATTTTCCCATGATTTAAATGAAACGCCACTAATAATACACACACACACACTAGTAGTGTTTCATGTAAATCATGGAAACCCAGGATCCCTGATTATTAGGCTACTGTGTAGCAGCATCACTTAACAGACAATCGTCAGCACTACTACGCAGTAACTCCAGTTACCGTGCATTTATTTAGTACTTGCTAGTACAAGTATGAAATAAATGAGCAGTAACAACTGTACAATAACATCCTGTGTAGACACGCCTGCTGAGAACAAACCCTTGTTACATGAAAACAAAAATCAACTAAAATGTGCTTCTAGTGTCATCTAGTGGCAGAACCCTAACACAGCTAGTGTCTAACACTATCATTCACCTGCTCACCAGAGCACCCCAAGGGATGACAGGGACCAACAGTCACAAACTTCTCCAAGACAGTTTTAGGCTGGACATAAGGAAAAACTTCTTTACTGTCTGAGCCCCCAGGGCCTGGAATAGGATCCCTCCTGAGGCGGTGCAAGCACCTACTCTGGGACTCCTTTAGGAAGTGTTTGGATGCTTATTTTGCTGGGATTCTTTGACCCTAGCTGACTTCCTGGGGACAGGGGGCTGGATTATAGGTCCCTTCCAGCCCTAAAGTCTGTGAAATCTATTAAATCTATCAAGATTTCAGTAATCTTGCTATGTTAAAATACTGTTAGATATAATGTCTGAGGATATTAAAAAATAAATTTTGAAGAAGAATATTATGATTTCAAATCTCACAATGTTTTTTTATTTATACAGAAAATAAATTGGCAAACTTCCCCTGCTCGGAAAAATCTTACTGACCATTGATGAAACACAGAAGCAGCTAAAATAAATACACACAGGGTTCAGAGGTCCTTCACTAAAGAAATTAAAGTTCAGTTTTAAAGATTTGTTTTTAGTACTACAGCTTATACAATTAAATCGGACTATGTTCCCTCAATTGTAACCTAATATTTATTCAAGTAAGTGTATTTCCCCCTCTTAGAATATATATTTAATGTTTCCAGCAATTAAAGGAAATGTGACCTTGAGAATATCTATTTAGAAATGATAACAAGAGTTGTCATTTAACAATTAGGTAGCAGTCAAAGCATGTTTTCAGAGTACTATGAAGTTTACTATATCATGTGTAATTGCTCAAATCAGGTTCAAATTAAAAACAAAAATACTGCAATTTGTGTATTTTCAACTTCTGAGCAGGTTTCCCCTTGTTTTAGGAATAAACATCTCTTATGCCTCATTTTCGCGCTGGAATGTGCATGGAACACATTGAATAAAGAGAGCCTAATTCAGTATCATACTTATTTTTTTCTTCATTTCTTTCTTAAATATTGACCCCAATCAGTATATTAAATAAGCAAGACATTTTAATTAGACTAAACTGCAAGAGGGAAGAGAGAAAGGGGGAAAAGAATAGGTGAAGTAAAGATGACTCACTACAAATGCATAATATCTATTTAGCATTTATCCTACAGTGCTAATACAGATCTACACTGCTGAATGAAGATTTTTTTTTCCCAACATATCCAATCCTATTTCCAATAGCAAAGGCAATACCTTTCAGGATCAGTACAGGGAATCCAATTCACCTGTGGATCCGGGATATCCTCCAGGTAGGGGTAAATAGTTTCTCTCGTGAAGACCCAGCCATAAACGCCATCTTCAGGGGTCACAATGATGTGTGCTCCCTAATAAAAACAGATGAAATTTAAACAATCTTCACCAAAATAAATACCTCTAATTACTGTACAATCAGCCTATACCTGCTGGGCTGCTGCTTTGATGGCTGTTTCCAAAACATCCATATTTTTGTTCATCAACACCAAAGCATCTTCAGGAGAAACTGGTAGGTTGGTTTCCTCAGACAATATAACACAGTGCTCATATACAGCTGCGATGTAGCTGTCTGAGGCATAGGCCTTAAGGACAGACAGAATGAAAACTATGGCAGAAAAATGAGTAGGGGAACAGCCCATGTTGGAAGCTTCTTGGGTGCTCAGAAACGTGTGCAAGTGCAGGCAAAGGTAGAAGCTTAAAAAAGAAAATAGATTGATAAACTTTGGAAATTTCTATTTGCTTTTAAATCAAAGTATCCTATTGCGGGAAGCTAATATTGTGCAACCATTGCCACATCTAGAAAAACTTAGGTCAGAAAGGCCATAGAAGTGCAGACATCCTGGAACTGAGTCGCTGTGTTCACAAACAACTAATTGTACTAAAGCCAAGCAAAGGCACAGCACTGCAAATCTGGAAACAGCACATATCCAAGGCAGAAAAAATGCTGAGAATTCAAGGCTGGTCAAGCTCACAATAGTAAAATGAAGAGGGGAGAACTGGGAAATAACAACATGGTCCAGTTATCATATTTATCTTATTGCTTATCGACACATACTAAACTAAAACCTTCTGACCTTAGAGTATATCTACATTTCAGTCACAGGAAGGGCTGCAATGTAATGTAAGATAAATACATGCTTCACTCTGCACCATTGAACTCTATAGTGCTGTGGCTAAACTGCAGTCACAATCTGAGGTTGTCAGCTTAAAGAAGTGGTTCTCAATCTTTTGAGCCTGGAGACAGCCTGGGATAGTCTTAAGGCAACCCTACATAGACTTGAGATACCTCTAGGAAAGTGCTAGCTCTTAGTTTTCACTTGTTCGTTTTTTACTGTAGAAAAATAATAGAGCAATTCTTCTGTTGCAAAGAACTCAGAAAGACCACAACACGTCAGAATATTTTTAACACTATGGCTAAATACAGACATTCAAAAAGCCTGAGCCTGAATTGTTTCAGTCTTTGCAGGTTAGTCTAACCTGTGTAGATTGAACCAAATTGCAAGTGAATAGACATTCACTTTTGATTCCGGAAATGCAGGCACATGCCTGCAGTGGCTCAGGCTAAAAGTAGGAGGGCACTAGCAAGCCATCTTTTCTCTTCTGCAGCAGCCACAAGACTAAAAGGAAGATGACCTGGGGGCAGGGGCAGGCCCCAGCAGCCTGATATAATTGGGAGGGGGTTTAAACCCCACCCTGGTCCCCAGCCAGGATGTGCCTGGCTTTTCCCCGTTCACTGTTTGAGCAGTTGAGGCAGGGGTGCCTTGTGTCAGGGCTGCTGGTTGTCTCATATGGAGTTTAGAGTATGTGTGTGAACAGGGTCTGGATAGGGATGCTTCTGCCTCAGGCAGAGGCTAGGCTAGATGAGACCCCTGTAGGTCCCTGCCAACCCTACTCCTCTAGGAGTCTGTGACCTGATCTGGAGAGGAAGCCCCTGCACTGCTCCTTCAAGAACAGAGCATCAGGCCCCTGTTCTACTGGAAAAAGAAGAGGAGGATAGGTCTGGGGCGTGTTTCCCTGCTGGGACAGTCACCTCCATGCTGGGACATGCACGAGGGACTGCATGAAGCAGAGGATCGCACACACACACACCCTGCTGTCTCTTTCAGGGTGCCTGGCACAGGGGCAGCAGCTGCCTGATCTCTGTGATGCAACAATGGGGAGAACACAAGGTGTTTGGAAGCAGGCACTTGACCCAGGGGCACCTGCTGAGCAGCTTCTCCTCTCACCAGGGCCATGCCTGGACCCAGACCTGGTGCAGGGCAGGTGACCCCAGGGGGAGGGAAAGGCAGTGGCACTGATAAGAAGACAAGTGGGGGATCCCCCTCCCCCAACCTGCACTGCCAACTCTGCCTGAGTCACTCTCACCTATTCCAAGGATCTGCAAATGCTGCTGGGGAAGTTGCCGGCATGAGCCCACAGAGATACCAGGCGCTGCAGCTGCCTGACCACAGCCTCCTCTTTCAGACCTCCCATGGCACCTGAGCCAGCCTGCACCTGGATTCCCAACAGCTCCACCCCAGCCAAGGGGCTGCCCCAGCAAAGCAGCATGCCTGGGCACAGTGCCTGGATCAGCCGCATAGGGCCCAGGGGCAGCAGCCAGGGCATTGCAAGCAGGGAGGCAGCAGGGCTCAGTGTGTCCTGGAGCACAGCAGCGGCAGGACCCCCAAGAGGAGCCAGCCAGCCAGCCAGCCCGCCCCATGGAACCTGGGCCAGCCTGCACCTGGCCACCCAGCAGCTCTGCCGCTGCCATGGGGCTGCCCCAGCTGTGCAGCACATCTGGGCACAGTGCCTGAAGCAGCCATGCAGGACCCAAGGGCAGCAGCCAAGCCATTGCAAGGAGGAAAGTGGCCCCAGGGTCTCCCTGGGCCTGGCCTTGGCAGGGCCACTTCCTTGCTTGCAATGCCCTGGCTGCTGCTCTGGGGACTGCACCCAGGTATGCTGCCAGGCAGCCAGGTGCAGGGTGGCCCAAGTACCATGGGGGCCATCTGACTCCTCCAGGGGGACCTACCACTGCTGCTGCTCCTGGCCACTGCTCACAGGGGTGGACCCAGCTGTCAAGGCCATCAGAAAAAGGAGGCTGCGATCAGGCAGCTGCAGTACCCGGTAACTCTGTGGGCCCACACTGGGAACTTTCCCAGCAGTAGCCGGGGCTGCCTGGAGGTGGGTGAGAGTGGCTCAGTGGAGTTGGCAGCATGGGTTGAGGAAGGGGGATCACCACTCGCCTCCTGACCTGTGCCACTACCTTCCCCTCCCCTGGGGACATCCACCCTGTGCCAGGCCTGGGCCCATGCATGGCCCCAGTGGGAGGAGAAGCAACTCAGCAGGTGCCCCCCAGGGCTGGTGCCCACTTCCAAATACCTCGCGTTCTCCCCATTGTTGCTGCAGAGACGGGCAGTGCTGGCATTTCTCCAGGGGCATCTCTCCCCCTGGCCTGCCTCCCCTCTACTTCTGCCTGCAACAACACTGGCAGGCCCCTCCCTCTCCCCCTTCATCTCAGGCCTGGGACCAGCGCCTGGCCACACCTTCCCCTCCACTGCTCATCCCACTCTCACCCCCTTCTCAGCCAGCTAGAGCACTGATAGAGCTCTGACTAGGGAGGAGAGGGGTAGCTCCAGCCCTGCTCCCCACCCCAGCCCAGCTCAGCCCAGGGCTGCAAAGCATGCTGGGATGCTGGGGAACTGTGAGTTAACTTAAACCAGGAAGGAGTCTGGTTGAGAAATTACATAAAACACTTTGACCTAAATCAATTAAATCTCATGCTACATTCAACCAAGTTTACCTTAAACCAGTTTCAGGCATTTTGAAAGTGTTTTATGTGCACTGAATTTCTGTTGTTACACGTTTAAACTGGTTTCTAATCACTTAAACCAGTTTATATGCAACTTGTCCCTAGCCTACTAGTTCCTATTTGAAATCTCTGGGTTTATCATGCAAGTTATGTTTGCACACCTAATAGTCTGGCATCCCACATCACCCTTGAGAGGATCTCAAGGTGCTGTGGCACCCTGGTTGGGAATCACTGGCTTAAAGCCAGGTTGGATAGGTCTATGCTACAGTCATTATATACTAATGACACATTTACTGCTGGAGGATTGTTCAGTAAATCACTCAGCATGTTGTTCACCAAATTCTGAAGGAAAGGAGACCGCTCAGAGTCTGATCTAAAAACAGAATTTAATAGAATCATAGTCAGAAGGGACCTGAAGAGTAACCTAATCCAACCCCTTCACAAATGCAGGAAGAGCTATTCCTATGCTATCCCAGACAAATGCTTATCTAAACTCTTCTTGAAAACCTCCAAGAAAGATTTAACAACTTCCCAAGGTATCTTGTTCCATTATCCTACTCTTCTGGCAGTAAGTTTTCTTTCCCCCGATATCAAATCTAAATCTGTCTTCCTGTAGTTTACACCTTTTGCTTCATGTCCTGCCCTTGGTGGCAAAGGAGATAGTTTCCACCCCCCCATCCCCTCCCCCCTGCTCTTTCAATATGGAGAAAAAGCAGACCATTAATCCTGATCATTATTGGATTACTGAAGTACTGATTACTTAAACTAAGATTAATTACATGCATCACCTACTGGTCAGCAGATCTCATTTGCCCTGTTGTTTTGATTTCATCCTAGTCAAACAGACATGTAATAATGGGACAAATACAGCATCAGCCATGTGCGTCAACCATCACAAAACCCAGGAAATTAAGAGCCTAGGCTTCACACCAGCCTCATTGCAAACATTGGATTTTAGGTTCTTTTGACACTTCTCCTACCTATGTTTAAACAGGCACTTAATTTAACAAGTTGTATGGCTCTTGTTACTATAATATCTGAGCATTACAGTTAAGCAGTTGAGACGGGAATGTGCTAATATATCCATTTCAGAACTGGGAAAGAGACACAGAGATTAAAGACTTGGCCAAGGGCACACAGGTTCCAAGTGTCACCACAGTCACTGTATCAGCTCAGTCCCTGGGAAGTTGGTAGCAGTGAACAGAGCTGTTTCCTATCCTGCAGAAACCCTGGAAACAGCCTTGCTTCCTGATGCCTTTTAAATAGCAACTAACTTCCCAGTGAAGCCAGTCCTGTTAAAAGGGCACTAATAAGCTAGGTTCCCTGGTGCTGTTCCATGTTCCTGGCAGCCCCGGTTGCTGCCCTGGGACAAATTATGAACACAGCCCCAGTTCACCTGATGAGGAAGCAGGGAGCACAGCCTTCCCCCAGCTTCACCCATGTGACATCAGCTTCAGGCATCCTATCTGTCATAGGGGTAGGGGGAGCAAAGAAACAGCTGCCTGCCACCCCTAGCTGAAGAGCTCAGCTTTAAGGCGACTTTGTTTTTCTCCTTCCAAGGGTCTGGAGGCCTGTATGCTCCCTCTTCTCACCAGACTTTTCAGCACGGCAATTTTCCCAGAAATTCACATTGCCAGTATTGAACTCATGTCCCTAGCTGAAGTTCTGCAAAGAATTTGTGCATGGTTTATAGCACTGTCCTACATTCAGGATACAAGCATATCTGTAAAACTGCCTGGGAGAATTGACTGGATACCTTGGAATTTCCCATGCAATGAGAATTTACATTTCAGAAGATATGTCATGCAGCTGAAGCGGGGGGAGGAGGGAGTGGGGTGCAGCATGAGGGTAACTGAAGTATGGGAGCACCACCAATGGATGCTATGATTAAAATGTCTCCCCCTAAGGTTAGAGGGCCCCAGGAGTCCCTTACAAGCCCCCAAAGTCTGAACCCTGTAGCTTGAGAAATGCCAAGCTAAAATAAAGAGCAGGGAAGAGAAGGGCATTGGTAGTGTCTT